GTCCCATAAAAGGAATTCCTGACAAAGTGGACATCTCATCAGCGATTGAAAACTACTGCCAAAAGTAAGTGTCCATGACGGACAGAATGACCGGCCCGCAGAAACAGACAGGCTGATCGTTTTTCAGTTAAACAGTATAGGTGGGATAGTATGTTTTACCATATTTCCATAAAATATTTCGCAATCAAAAAAAAAATTTTTTTCTCACACAAAAACAGGACAAATCCTCTGCTCTATTTTGTTCTGTGAACGGGGAAAAGCAATTCAAAAAACGTGCGTGACAGCAATTAACCAGCAATTTTTTCTTTCTTATTGGCCCACTCGACGATTCAAGCCAGAAAAGTGTGTTGTGAAGGGATGAAATCCGTTAATTACTTGAAATCTGAAAGCAAGCTGCATCGTTCAAATTACTCTGAGCATAAATGAGCAGAGCTGAAGCTCGTGACTGATTGTGATGATAGGCTGCAGATTTTCAACAGGCAAAAACAATGTCTTTCTAATTTTACGTACAATCAAAAAATTTTATTTTCAACACCTTGCTTTATCAAGCAGTTTGCTGAGCTTCCTGTTCCTTTTCCTTTTCTTCATGCTCCTTGATAAGTTGCGATACTTCGGCACTCGTCAGATCCTCAACAATGATCTTATTGTTACGCCGCGTCAACGTTGCCATTTCAACTGCAATGACACTTTAATCAACTAATTCGTTCGCTCCGTATTCGTCCAGAGAGACAGAAGCACAGGGGCAGTGGCCGCCCGAACAGCAGCACTTTCTCTATCAAGGCTTATAAGTTGATGGCCGATTAGCAGATCACTATTTTACTTTGTGTTATTTAGTGGCATGCATTATTATAGTACGACATAAGTGATATTTCAGATACTGTCTACAGCACACAAAAACTAGTGCCATCGATGAACAACGAAGATCTTACTTTTTTCTGCTGTAAGTTTTACGTCCAGTGTCTTTGAAAGCACTTTCATTACCAGTTTCTTGGCCTCATCCAGTGTTGGTGATTTATACTCCTGTTTCAGTAGTGAAACGGCAGCCTGAAAATGCTCTTCCGGAGAGAAAAAAAAAAAATCAAATTTATTGCAAATTATTGGGAAAACTCTTAGTCCACAAAGATAGCAAAAACCACACATCTGCGCAAGTAGAAGGAGCAAAACTCCCTCCCACCCTTCCAATTTGTAGCACTGCAGTGAGAATGTGTAACGTGTGCAACAAAGGAACGATACAAACCACTGACTAGGACTGATTGCTTAAATCTAAGAAGAATGTCGAATTCTGAGTTTAAGATTTATAGCTCCTGATCGGTAATGGACCTTATCGGCCTGGTTTAGAGACAATGACACCACAAGAACATCTCTAAAGCCTTCCAAAATGCATCTGTTGAGAGAGACGTTGAGCCGGTAATGTCTTTCAGGAGACTAAAAGAACGTCAGGACGGCATGAAGCAGAGCAACTGGGAACGCGACTGTTGCAATTTCTGAGAAACAAGACCAGGTAGCGAACTTTGCGTAGGCGATTTGAAGATAAGCAAACCTGATGATTATTGCCAATGCACGTAGCTTTCCAGCCCGTATAATTGCCACTGGGATCAGACTGATAAAGCTGATAACCGAAGTGCTGATCCCAGCCCATATAAAGAAGCGAGACACCAAAAGGGCGTTTTCCTGCAAAAGAACTGTTTTGGTAGACTTCATAAAAAAAGTTTTGTCTATCCAGGAAACTCATATGATGAAGCGAAAAAGCAGTCCCAAAATTTTGGAGTGAAAAGAAGAAAAACCCGTAAAAACTCGCATTTTCTTGATTCGGGAAGCTAA